GCCGCCCGGGGAGACGTTAGCGGGACGTGAAAAGGCAACTGAGCCTTTTTGTTGTTATCCAACACAATTTCCTACCTGTCTGGGCTGCTGAGGCTCGGAAACGAAACGCCAACTGACCTGTGAGCTTCTGCAGCTCGCCTTTGCCCATGGCTTGTTCTGGATGCAACATGAGAAACAGAAAACTTTGGGTAGCTCCGCTTTTTAAAAATGACCATTTTCGACGCACTTTACAAACGTTCAGCTTTGTCGTTTAAGGAAGAATAACAGCTAGAGGACTCTCTGTAACCATAAAGTTTCTGCAAAGAAAAATAAAATTTGGTATTTCTTCTACACAGTCATTAGTAACATTTCTGTGCAACATTTGGTGTCCGTTACATTTATTTGGCCTATTAAAAGGAAACAAGGACAAAACGGCTGCAAGTAAAACCAACTTCTCTTTCACAACAGATACTTCAGATGCCGAAGCTGCTACATGTGCTTGGAATATCATGCAGGAGTTTACTTATTTATTTAAATAGGATACATATTTATAGCTGAGCTCGTCTCGCATCGGACTAGGAGGAGGGAAACCTGGAAGAACTCAGTTGCAAACATTGTCGAGCGCAATGACGACAAGCACACAACCACCAAAGATATTTTGGCCCGAGCAGTGTGTATATAAATGTATATACACACAGATACGTATATACACACACGCGCGCACCTAAAAAACCCCAGCTCTCAGTGACTGAGCTACAACTCGTCACAGGGACCGAACAACGGAGTGTGGCGCAACCCGGCCACGCGTCTACGCAAAAGTACTGAAACCGCGAGCGACCGCCGAAAACGAAAAGCTGAGCCCTGCGCCACGCTGCCGGGAAGGAAGCCTCCCCTGGAGCTCTCCCAGGAACAAACCGTGACTTTCTCCACCTTTATCCGTAAACGTGACCTCAGCCCGCGTGGCCGCAAGACCCCACTGGTAGCCATGAAAATCCTGCCTGTAATGGTGGACGTCGGAGGAAGGCCAAGGTCACGGCAAACCGAGGGCGGGCGGATGCGTTTCTAACGATGGAACTGAGGTTTTAATGAGGTACCTGGCAATAATCACTGTTGTTGCCGCTGTCATTCCAAGTGCTGGGGGGGGATTCAGATCAGACGGGGGAGGAATGAGAAAGGCTCAGCCCTCGCTTCCGCGCCTGCGTGGAAAACCTCACGCAAGCCTGTTTCATCATGGGGTCGGCATGCCGGCACCGGCAAGAAAACCGGGAGGCTAAATTTGCAGCTGCCTCCTTTTCAGCCCGCCGAGCCGGGAATTAGTCTAGAAAAAGGCTCCGAGTGAAAGGGGAAAGGACATTGTGTGTTTCAAGGAGCACTAACCTCCGTTGGATTTACTGGCTTCCTCCCTTCTGATGATGAACAACCCACATCTTTCCATAGCTGCTTACTGCCAGCGCTAGCAAACGACCAGATTCATGTTATTAAAAGGCTATTTAGGTAATAAATCTCTATGAAAGTCATCTAACCAGCAAGAAGAGAAACATTCCTAAGAAATTATTGCTTCTGGAGTCTGAAATTGCCATCCACGAACAGTGCAGATCCGACTCGACTCTTGCAATAACCCAACGGTGCAAAATCCACGCTACGCCTTTCCGAGCGGTTAAAGGTTGAGCTTCTCTGCTCTCGTGTGAAACACTTCCAGACGTGCAGCTCACCGACTACAGCACTCGAGAGTCTGAGCACTAACGGTGTCTCGTGTCCGAGGTGTTACACATCACGTTTAATACGTTAAAACTGTTTACAGTAAAAGCAACATGGAATGAAACCACAAAACCTTAAGCCTATTGCAGTGAAGGCCCAAAGAGATGGAGCACGCAGAATGAATTTGACTATACAGTAATACCGACAAAAAATGATGCTTATTGTCACCAGGAATAAAAAAAAAAAAAGCCCCTTCAAATCTATCTTCCCACAACTTTTGCAATAAAGACATAAAATTGCACTGCTTTACCCTTTAATCATGACCAAAAAAAAAAAAAAAAAAAAAAAAAAAGAAGTCATTTCTGTATCAAAAGATAAGGTAAGGGACACGTGAAGAAATAAATCATTGCCCACTCTACCCTGAGAAGTGCCGGGGCTAGAAAGAAAACTCTCTCAAATTCAAGAAAAAGCGTTACTATGAAAGATCCCGCGAGCCCTCACCGGCAGCGCGGCGGAAGCCAGCGCGGCGGTTTCACAGGCTGGCCAGCGTACAGGAGGAGATACTTTGGCAGGGGCTCCCCCAAGTTAATTCTTCTGGCAATACTACAAATACTTCAGCGCGTTACAATGGATAATGATTTCCTTCGGCTTTACAGGGGAGTGAAAGAGAGCTTCCTGCTACAAGGCAGCGTACACATTCATGCGTTACAAACGGTAATTAAACAGCTCCATAAACAACTCCAAATACGGATTTTAACATCCAATTCTTAGAAACGAGGCTATGCCAGATGCTGGCTGGGACAAAATTGGACCTGCCCTGCCTTTGATTGAAACCCTCTGGGTTCGAAACGTCCTTCCTCCCTCCTCACCCTTCCCCTGACTTGAGAAAGCTCAATAAATGTGTGTGAGCTCACCCCCCAAAATGGTTCACGTTCCCTCCGCTGGGTGTGAAGGGAGAGGGAGCTTCAACTTCTCCTCCCTCTTTGCTGCTAGACCTTGGTCAGTTCGATGGTGCTGTGAAAGAGATCTCGGCTTACGAAGGTGCTATGTGGAGTAACGGCGATTGGAAACCACGCGGATCCACGAAGCTCATGGGGAAAAGGGTAAGGCTGGCACCGGCCAGAAGATGCAGATTTTTAAACTGTAGAAGAACCTTTCCAGAAACAGAGATTAAAATAAGGGGTACTTGACAGCATTCGTTTAACCAGAAGCAGAATCTTCAAGGAGCTTTAAAAATAAAATATTAAAGTCACTTTAAAATGTCTAACTCAGTGTGTATTTTACACGAATGCCAGTTATAGGGTGAAATACAACGCATCTCTGTTATACATGAACATCACCAGAATATATTAAATGTAACTGAGATGATAAAATTCGCGACAGAAGTTCAGTTAAAGTATTTCTCACAACTGATTTCTTCAATAAGGTCTCATGTTCTTCAGTAGTATTATTCCCCTGTCTGAACACAGTTCACAGTTTGTGTTCTAAATAAAAAAATATTCACCTTAAAGAAAAAAAGACTTTCTCGAGACACTTGAAACAAACAAAAAAACCCCTAAGTCCGGTGCGATGACACGTACTTTAGTGCTCGGCGATTTCACCAGCCTAAAAACATCACTGTCACCCTCGGTGGCATAGGACATCGGCACCGACGGAAAGCCTTCACCTAAGAAACCCACTTATGCCACCAGGAATTCGTCAACGATGCCGGCCAAGACTGCGCGTTAACTTCAAATATACCAAAACATACATTTCTTAAATACATTGACAATTCAAGTAATTTATTAAAAACTGCTTTTCCTTTTGAAATATATATTCTTCTTTTGAATGACTATATTGCAGCATGAGTTACACATGTATTTTAAAGTACTGGAGTATGAGAAAGTTTGAGGCAGCAGAAATCTTACAACGAGCTGTGAGTTGTCTGTTTAGCACACGGATTGACTGCAGCCCGGAGGTCCATGCGAAAATGAGTAAATAGCATCACAAACACTTCTTATCAGACGACAAACGGAAGTTCGGTTTCTAAAGTTTCTTTAAATGGCTGCTGGATCTCTCAGCTTTGGCTGCCCGTGGACTGGGGCACAGTGCTAGCGATCCAAGCACTATTATAAATCAGATTAGCACAACTCTTTCAAGCTCTTCACGGAAAAATGTCTTTGCACTGCAGCTATGTCCTGAATCAAGGAAGGGGGCATGGAGGTTGCGCTGATGACATTGGTACAGCAGCGAAAAAGAGCTCCAGCCTACAATTCCTCCAACACAGGGACTGGAACAGCAACACATGCTAGTGGATTGAATGTTAAGGCCTAAAAACTGTTTCTGACAGATTTTTATACACCCAGACTACGCCATAAAGTGACAGAGGTAGGCCTTCGGTTTACCTTGTTGTACTGACACTGTGCCTTTACCTTGGCCGCCGCGTTCCCAGCCAGCAGGTTAAAGGATCATAAAAAGTGCAATTAATCAACGACTTCCTTTCCCCGCGAGAGAGAAGCCGCACGCCCCCTCCCACGAAGCCGAGCCCAGAGACGCCCTTTCATCCAGAGATGATCAGGTTTAAATGCCAAGAAACCCCCCCCCCCCCCCCCCTCCCCGAGTTCACCAGCACGCAAAACTCTGAGCTAAAAATTGTCACAGCGTATTCCAACGACATTCATAAAACTCAGCACTTGCGATAAAAACCTGTCAGTGCTGGTCACCTCTCCCAGTTGCTGCTCCTTCCATCTACAGTTCACGTCATGCACCCAATGTCACCCTCTCCTGACAAGCAGCAGACTTGGGAGTAGTTGTTGAACAGTATGACTAAAAGGATTCACAGCGGTTTCTTAGAAACCGCAGTAATTGCTTTTGTTTTGCTAGAAAATAATTCCAAATAAAACTGTAGTTCTGTAGTAATTGCACTAACAAAAACATGAAGTCTAAAATTAACATTAAAGAACTGTAGTTGTCAGACCAATAATATCATGCTTATGAAAAAATTGATCAAGATGTCTAAGCGTTTCATTCAGCTATTACACTAGTGAAATCTGAAATGTTCAGACAAAAAAATAGCAAGAGACTATAAGTCAAGATAGCTTCCATTTTCAGTTAGTTTAAAAACAGCTGAAAACTTAATTTTTCTAACTGCTAATTGTATACACTGTGAGTCTCATGCAGATTAATAAAACTTATTCGAAATCTAAATGTATTCTTAATAAAAAAAGTGTTCAGAAATGACATTTCTAAGTTGTAGAGAAAGCAATTAGCATCATAGCTACCTGTTCAAGCCTATATTAAGGACTATGGAATTTCATTTACACTTTTGCATGAAACTGCTCCCTGGAATGTGGGTGAACAAAAACCGACGGCCTCACACGGCTGACTCGCTCTCCAGCTCCGACGCGGCAGCTCCTTTGCGCGTGAGCTTCAGCACAGTCGGCTTCTCTGCGCTCGTGCCGTTGCCCTCGCTTGTCTCTGGACGACCTAGTCCTTTCTGTTCTTCCTTTGGCTCTTCATTGACTTCGGGGTAAATCACCAAGAAGGCAGCTGTCAAAAAACCCAGGAAGGATCCCACTGAAGCCACCATGGGAATGACTCTGACTGTGCCAACCGTGTCTACCACACCACCAAGCGCAGAAGCCACGAGGATCTGAGAGATGTAAACCTGACAGGACAGAATAGCGCAGTCTATGCCAAATCCTCGCTTTGAGTTCCCGGGGCTATGGTGAATGTACTGGAAGAAGACAAGAAACGTGTCAGGAGATAAAACAATGGATGAAATAAAATATTTAAACACTAGTATCGTCCTCGAATTTCTCGTGGTCAACTTTACGCCATCCTTGTGCATCACGCAGGCTATACGAGTCCAGAGCAACAGCCTCCTTACCTACTTACCAATGGCCTCCTCATCTTCCACCAAGAGGCAGATATTTACTGGGGCGCTCCTAGCGTGAACTGGCTCCAAGATTAGGTTTCATAAAAAAAATTTACATGAAACACTTGGTGGAAATTATTTTTTATGATTATAAAAAGGAATCTCCCTCCCAATCCCAATGCAGAAAGATGTTAACATAAATGATCCTCCTGTAATTTGTAATACAAATGGATCAGTGCTAAAAAGTAGAAAGTAAATCTGTCCTTGTTTCCAGCGGAATCAGTTTGCCTCACGCCTCCCCAAACTTATAGCTGCATTCCCAGACGCACCTCAGTATCTAAGACTGTGAAGAACCCCAGTATTGCTAACATAACACATCGGAAACAGTAGTAACAACGAGGTATGTAATAAATACTCCAATAATTATTTCATCTCTCTTCATCTACCATATGCACCCAAATCCTTTTATACCTCAGCACAGGGTAAAGCACTCATGACCCCACTGAGCTGACCTGATGCTAATGCCATCTGATTTAAGCAGCAGCTCTTGCGATTTACTATCAAGGATGAATCTGTGCTTTGGCACACATCCCAACAAAGCAGGTATCTCAAATAATGGGATTTAATAAATCCATTTTTGCCACTGTGATCTTCAGAGAAATGTGAATGCCTTGCCTTGATTAAAATATTCCAAATATTCCACGTACCTGTTTAATATCATGGTATTGTCCCAAAAGCGCATAGGGGCAGTAGGAGATACTCATCGAGACTATTCCCATAGTGCTGATCATTATCATGGTGACGTACACGTTGGGGAACATAGCCATCACTGCAGTGCCAAGAGAAAAACCCAGCGTGCCCAGGATGTAGATCACTTTTATACTAAGGTCATAGTTGTCCAAGTATTTCTGCAACAAGGCTGCAGAGATCAAGAGTAAAACATAAATATCAGTTTACTCACTGAAGCTTTATGGTATTGATGTGGCTGTGGCAGCTCAATATGCTGTTTGGGACTTGGATGCTCACTGCATATTTGGCTTGTCTTAGCAGCGTAGCTCAGCCCTCGTTGGGAAAAGGACGTATCGCTACTTCAGAAACTCGGGAAACAAAGAGCTCAGAGACTTGTCTAAACCAGGCTACAAGTCTGAGTCAGAATAAAATGCTTTGAGACTCAAACGTATCACAGTTCACTCAGTCCATTCATTAATTTTATCTATTTATTAACTTTATCAATGCAGGTACACTCCGAGCACAGAGGAGATTCTAATACAAGCATATTCGCTAAACAAAGTGATCAGATAATTGACGTTTATAGCCACATTTCAGTCTGTGTTCAGAAACAAGCTGCTCGCCTGAACTTCAATTTGACATGTCTCAACAAAGAGGCAGTCCCCACGATACCGACCTGTGCAGGCGTGCCGGCACACGTGCTGCAAATGGCAGAATTTAAGTTTGGCAAAAGCTTTCAATTTCAGTCTGTATTCCAAGCCTAAATTGTCTGTAGCTGGTTTATTTGTTATTAGAGAGCAAGAAAGAGACTTTCAGAAATATAATTTAATTTTGATTTTAAGAAGTCTTTGCAAAAACCCTCATACATATGTTTGAATCTTCTAACAAGCATAATTTGGTTTCCTGATGACTAGCTTTAGCTATTCCATGTCCTTTGGTATCATTTTGTGCTTTATGCCACTTAACCAATCTGTTCATATTTCCACCTCTACATTTGGAGGAATTTTTTTAATATTGATTCTTAAAGAAGCCTCTCCCCTTATGCCCACGTGAAATGCTTTTCCGAAATATCCTTCCCCCCAAACAAGGAGGCGGATGCTAACTGAAGCAAAACTATTTTTACCTTGCAAATACATCTACGAGGTGCATTCCACTGATTGTGCAGAGTCTCTTACCTGAACAAACGGCAGCAGTAGCAGCATAAATTACCAGTCCCCAGCATCCCATCTGGACTCCAGCATTATAGGCATGTAACTCAGTTGAGTTAGAAGGGGCCTGCCACAAACACAAACGCAAAGCCGTTTTCTCGTAACGAGCACGTCTCAGAAATGAGTAACAATAAGCAGGTTGGTCAACGGTGACTGTTCTCTTACCTTTGGATCGCCCTGAAAGATGACCTGGCCCATGAAATCTGTATAGAACACAGCTTCGGCAATGATCGAAAACCAAGTTAAGAGGTGACAGACGCACAGTCTCAGCAGCTCCTTTGGCATCTTTAGCATCGACAACCACAAGAGTCTGACAGTGGTTTCAGTTTCCCCCTCTTCGCTTTCTGTGTCTCCACTTGAATTTGTCGTGCCACTCTGATTCCTGTGCCTGTACCTCTGTCGCTGCCGCTTCTGCATGTCGTAGATATCATTCATGCTGCGTGAGGACTTTATCAAGACGATGGCATTGGCCCGACGAAAGCGATAGCGGTGAGAGCCTATTTTACCATAGTATGAGAAGGTATAAGATGGCTGACGGTAGAACATGTGCCTCCGCCTTCGCATGGAGTTTGAAGTACTAGATTGCTTCATGCCTATTCTAGCGTGTCCATTGAGGAACTCCTTTGGAAGGGAGCCATTCACGTTTGGGACTTTATTTTCATTTAAGTGATTATCAAGCAACATTTCCTCCTCTTTCTCATTGTCCCTGAGGAAAGCAGACAGGTGGTTGAGTTTGGACTTCATGATCTCTTGGCTGGTGTTGTGGGGAGTGTTTGGATATGAAGCATCCTGAAAAATGGAGGGTTCGATGTCATGCAGAAAAAGCAGCTCCGATTCAATTTCCAATGTAGCATCGGGCATGTGCAGAACTGAGTCACTCTTACTTCTTACAATGTTCACCTCAAGGAACTCCATATTGAGATCATGCTCCGACTGAACCTCATCGGGGAACATAGAGTTTCCATACGGCTCTTCCTCACTAATTACATTCAGTCGATTCAGAGGGGGGAGACTACCACTGAATTTGACGCTGGAAAGTGTGTCTCCTTCATCATCAATCCTGTCCTGCTGAGGGTTATATTGCTCTTCTTCAATGCTAAAAAGGTGGAGAGCAACGGAGACAGAGAAAATAATGGCTGCAAAGAAGAAAAGGACTTGCTCTTGAGATTTAAAAATACCACCCAAGAAGGTCTGTGTCCAGTCCAGCCCTCCTAACATATAACCGATTGCTCCTCCAAGACCTGTGGAAGAGAAAAAGCGAGAACTGAGTTCAGGAAAAATCATTTCAGTCACACATTTCCTTGGTCATCAGCAAGACTTGGCAGCTGCCAAAAACATATCAACTAACTCCGTACCAGCTGAAAACGCATGGATGTTAAGGGCCATGTCTTGTTCTTCACTGTCCACCACATCCAACAAGTAGGCCCGAATTGGCCCTTCTGTTGCATCAGCACAAAAGTCCAACACCACAACACCAAGCACCGTGAGAACTATACCAATGGGCTGCTTGTCTGGGACATCACCAATAGCCAGACCTGAGGGAAAACGGAAGAAGAATCTGAGCATGTCATTCAACAAGGGAAAACTACCGAGAGCAAGCTTAACTCCTTAAGAGAAACATGGCCAACACACTCACTGGAAACATTCCTTTACAGAGTAAAATGGCAATTTCAACTCTTCATGGAAGGTCTGGGACAGAAGATTATGTTTTAAAATTTTTAGGACTGACTTTTATTTTTCAAAATGTTATTTTAAAAGTATCTCTTAAACCTTTGAGAGCATTAGATCCTATTTCATGTTCCTTGTGTGTATTTTCCTTCAAATGCTGAAGGCTGTTTTTATAAAAGACAGCCGTGGTGAGAGAGGAGAGCATCCAAAAACACACTGTCATACCTCACCTATCGGTTACAAACACAGGTAACTGCACTGCTGACAGCATTCCTGACCCCGTGCCTAACATGTAATGGTCGCAGCACAACAGGATAAAATGAAATTTAACCCCCCCACCTCTCTCTTTGCTTTTCTTAAACATTCATATTTCCTAGATCACTTTTGTAAGCAGAACTTTTAAGGATGAAGCAACATGAAGGCATTTTGCATTGCAAAAAGAATCAGATGGCACGGGATGAAATGCTTTTTGTCTACAGAGTAGAAAGGCAGCATTAGTATATAGCTGGAGAATTTTTCATGAAACGAACCACTGACAAAAGCATGAATTACTGGAATCAGAGAGATTTCAATGTTACACATGCAAGACGCTGATAAAACCATTAGCGTCACTGATGAAAATGACAGTGGAAAGAGATGAACTGGCTAAGCCACCAAAAATCAGCTAAATCTCAAGTGCTATGATTCCTGCATATTCAATCCTCATTTATACCAAGTCCTCTGAATGCTAAAGGAGTTTACATGTGTTCCACGCTCGGCTGAATCTTACAGCAGAAAACACCAACGGTGCCAGTGCTTTAGGTTTGCTGGAAACCTGAACAGTGCCTACAGTGGAGAGAACAAGACTTGAATAAGATCTATACACAGCTGTTCTCCTGGGACACGGTCGTATTATTATTAGGATTGGAGAACCTCTTTTTTAGCATGCTCTTGTGCTCCTTGCTCCCCTCCCGATGACTCCTATTGCCAGAGGCCAGGTTATGAAAACGGCTACAATACAACGACCACCTTGGTTTTTGCAGCAAGTTGAAATTAGGAGTGCAAGTAACTGGAGACTAAGGATAGGAATGTGTGAACATAAAATGGGAAGAAGGCAGGCAATGAAAGCACACAGAAGAAAATCTGGTTACAAATGACTGGTAAGCAGTGCCTTTTCTCTCTGAAAAGTAACACAAGCCCCCATTTCAAAAACTTCAATTAAAGAGAGACTCATATTGCTTTATCATATTGTGCATCTGCTCTAAATAGTAGATCAAGTGCTGTTTTATGCTGACGTAAATTGAATGTTAGTGGCAAATCTCTATCTTCTAGTATGGAACAGGTCTAAGAGAAGACCATGGAATGGTTCTCGCTTCAGTTCGCTCCAGGCTCCCTTGGGAGAGGCACAGCAGTGTTTAAAGTGCTTTTCAGAAGAGGGTTTTCATTCAAAATCTACCACAACCACGTCCCAGGAACAGATGCCTAAAGCATACAGCTCACTTCTGTGGCGCACTGCAACAACCTCTGTGTTTTAAAGAAGTGTCATTGCACCAAAGTACCACTGGAGTACCAGGAACGCGCAGGTTTTCTAGAAAGCTATGCAACAGACTCTATACTGTGTAACAAAGAATTAGAGAAAAATCAAAGACAATATTTTCTGCTGATTTATTAGAAGGTGAGAGACTTCAAAATAAACTATAAACTGCGTATGACCTTTCCTTGCCAGTATCAATGGCTACTGACCTAAACCACCGTATGGAAGTAAGAGCTTCCTATCCACTAAAATCTTGTAAGAGGGCTGCAGTCTAACATCTTGGATGTATCTGGACGAGGCGGAATAAGTCTTGGAGACACAACTACAAAGTACAATTGATACCATGGGATAGCAATTGAAATAATTAATAGGTATTGCTTGGGTAAATTAAAAAAACGTAAGCTAAACATCATTCATCTGAGCACTTTGTCCACTGCAGTTTGTAGAAAACTGCAAACCATCATATGGCACCCCAATCCGGCTTTAAAAAGCTAACATGCTGAGCCAAGGTAATGTTCCACTCATTTCCCTCAATTAGTAAAACTTTTTCACAATAGGGCTGCACCTAACCCAAAAAAAAAAGAGAGCCAAGAGGATATTATTAGGTGCTAAGTTCCTTCCATTTGCATCAGTCCAACCATGATGTAAACATTTCCCCAAATGTACTTGCTGTCACCTCTTCTACACTAAATTTACAAAGAGATTAGAGATTGGAGATTAAGTTCGGTAGTAAACTATGTTCAAGGGAAACTATTTTTACCAGCTTTGATGGGGGCTCAGGAAAAATTATTTTCCCACATAGTTTTTGATAAACAAATATTAACTGTGTTCTGGACTTTTTCAATACCAGGTCTAAGAAAAGCACAAGAAAAAGTGAAAAGATAATTTTTGAAATAATGCTGGAAACAGGATGTGTTGCCAGATATGCATTAAAGGGAAAACGGATCACAACAGGAAACATTTCCCTGTGAACAGGTTGCTACAATTTTCCCATGTCAAGGATCGACCAAATTCGTCTCAGCGACTGCAAACATTATGCTGGCAACCATTGTATTAATAACGCTGTATGAACAGTTACAGCTATGATTGCACAATACTTAGTACAGCACCGCAGCTTTCAAATAAGAATAAAAACATGCAAGATGGATAGCTCAAATGCAGTGTTGCAGAGGCTTCTAATGATTTTAACACTAAACGTAAGTTAAATCAACTGCGTATCATTATCTTCCTACATAAAAATCTTAAAGCAGATATGATAGCAGGAGATATATGCAGGGGATTTCATCATTATTTACCTATAACAGAGCCATTAAGGAAAAGTGCAACTCCAAAGAGGACACCAATGCAGAGAGCAAGAATAAAAGGCCGCCGGCGGCCCCAGCTCAGTGTGCAGCGGTCACTAGCCGAACCTATAAGCGGAGTGAAGATCAAGCCCAGGATAGGGCTAAGGAACCAAGTGAGGCTGTAGTATTGTTCAGGAAGACCTAAAACAAAGACAAAAATTACGTAAAGGTTATGTGGTACACACCAAACATTTAACTTTATACATGAGATTTTGTTATACCTTTCAAAACTGTAAATTGATCCGTAATTTACCTACAGTAAATTACCTCCCAAATGAAAAACTCTGTTAAGATTTCTTATCAATGGTTAAAAAAACAGCTAAGGAAAGTACATATCATATATCTTTCAAACACTTGGGCAATAAGAAGTTAACAATAGGTATATTTAAGCTACTGAAATAAAAAAAAAAAAAGAAAAAAAAAATCTTAACAGTGGAATCACTAGTCTAGTGTGGTGGGTTGACGCTGGCTGGGCGCCAGGTGCCCACCAAAGCCGCTCTCTCACTCCCCTCCTCAGCTGGATGGGGGAGAGAAAAATACAACGGAAGGCTCGTGGGTCGAGATAAGGACACGGAGATCACTCAGCAGTTACTGTCAGGGGCAAAACAGGCTTGACTTGAGAAAAATTAGTTTAATTTATTACCAATCAAATCAGAGTAGGATAATGAGAAATAAAAACTAAATCTTAAAACACCTTCCCCCCACCCCTCCCTTCTTCCCGGGCTCAACTTCAGTCCCAAATTCTCTGACTCCTTCCCCCCAGTGGCGCAGGGGGATGGGGAACGGGGGTTGCGGTCAGCTCATCACACATTGTCTCTGCCGCTCCTTCCTCCTCAGGGGAGGACTCCTCACACTCTGCCCCTGCTCCAGCCTGGGGTCCCTCCCAGGGCAGACAGTCCTCCATGAACTTCTCCATCGTGAGTCCTTCCCATGGGCTGCAGTTCTTCATGAACTGCTCCAGCGCGGGTCCCTCCCACGGGGTGCAGTCCTTCAGGAACAGGCTGCTCCAGCGTGGGTCCCCCGTGGGGTCACCAGTCCTGCCAGCAAACCTGCTCCCGCGTGGGCTCCTCTTGCCACGGGGCCACAGGTCCTGCCAGGAGCCTGCTCCAGTGTGGGCTTCCCACGGGGTCACAGCCTCCTTTGGGCACATCCGTCTGCTCTGGCATGGGCTGCAGGTGGATATCTGCTCTGCTGTGGACCTCCATGTGCTGCAGGGGGACAGCCTGTTGCACATTTTTTTTTTTTCTCCCTTCTTAAATATGTGATCACAGAGGCGCTACCACCATCGCTGATGGGCTCAGCCTTGGCCAGCCGCGGGTCCATCTTGAAGCTGGCTGGCATTGGCTCTATTGGACATAGGGGAAGCTTCCAGCAGCTTCTCACAGAAGCCACCCCTGTACCCCCCCTGCTACCAAAACTTTGCCATGCTAACCCAATACATCTAGATTACTTACTACTGTCCACAAAATCACACACTTGTTGAATTTTGCTGCATGTGCTGAATTTTTTTTGATGGGGTTGTTGGTGGGGACGGCCTCTGTGAAGAAGTAGCAGCCGAGGTCTGCTGTGCAGAAGCCCAGTAGCTTTGCTGCATCCTCTATCAATTTGTGGACTATAAAAACAAAGATCTTTGGAATGCTTGGAAAGCCGCCTGGTTGTCGTACACGCATATCCCCTTCTCAGCAAAACTTCAACAGGAGTTGAGCATTATAGCGGTACTGTTCACCTAAGACCACCACCATAAAGAGTTACTAAAGATGTAACGGACTGAGAACGACGGACAGAATTTGACGGTCACATGAAACGTCCCACTTCTAAGCACAAAAATGTTTACTCATAAAACTGAACAACGGACAATAAAAGAAAAAGCAATTATTCATTAACCTTTAGAGAACAGCTAAAGAGGCTTGCTTATCTCTACCATCCTTGCTTTTTTTCCCAGAACTGAGGTGACTACTCATAGGATCAAACAGAAACAAATTGCATTTATTATGTAATATTTACCTAGGGGAAAAAAAAAAAAACAAAACCAACTTATTACAAATAATAATATCTGGAGAAGGAAAGCAACCCCCAGAGCCCTGCTTTACACCTCTCCAGCATGGAGAGCAATGGCCTGCAGATGGCAGACTGGCCCAGAAGAGCAGCTACGCTCGGCTGCTTGGAGATCTGACCTTGGAGACCTGCTTCCCCCTCGGTTTATCAGCACAGGTCAGGTAACCACTTTGACGTGTTTCTTAGCAAAGCATTACAAACAAAGCAATCAATTTCTTGCAGTCCAACTGATGCCAAGACTGAAAAACTCAGTGTCTTTACCCTAGGAAGGACAATCATTTATTATTCAAAACCACATGTTGTGAGCACGAGTAGTATTTGAACTTTGCTGGTGAGATCAACCTGGACCTTATGCTCCCTGTGCAGCGTGCTGAGGCACCCATTACCAAGCAGGATTATACCAATCCCTGCCCAAAATAGCCTATGCTGCAAATTTGGAAGTCTAATCTCCTGCTGGTTAAAGTGCCGTCAAATCTTGACTAACGATGCTGACTTCTTCCACGAGATAAATCACACTTTCCCGAGACTGGTGCGTTCGGCAGCGATGCAGAAATATTATAGGAAAATAAGACATGTTTTGCCCACAACTTAGCATAAATAACCAAATTCACCATCGGGATTCAAAATCCAGGTCTGACTCAACTTTGGCTAACGAACAAGCTAACGGCGACAGCCGCCTTGACGAGTACAGAGTTATTGGAAGGGACTTGCCTCTTCCGAATCTGCACGACCCGTGCTTTCGGCCCAAACGTGCCCACGAGCACGCTGCCCTCGGGGCACGGGGAAAGCATCATGGTTTAGCCATCTTTCCTTGCTACAGGACTGTACCTGAGGCCAAGACTCCACATTGGCACTTACCATACAACTACTGACTCCTTTTGCAGCAGGTTTTAGATCTCTAGGACAGGGGTGTGTTTGTACAGATGCCACCTTGTTCACGTCATGGTTCAAACCACTACCTCTCGCTTAGCTTTTCCAACTGTTTGGTGATGTCTTGGCTGGCATGGAAGTTTTAGCTGAGACATACTTAGTAGGGAACACTAGGATTGGGGGGGCATATTAGGTTTAAAGCTCTTGTTCAGGAAACCAACGTTCCTCCAGATCCCACCCTGCAGTTGCACCACCCAGCTTCTCTTAATGAGCACTATCCTAACCACAGGTACAACTCAGCAAGCCAGCAATCCAAATAAGAGTGCAGAGAAAACCTCCATCTCCCCGTGGTTTTAACATCCTTTTTGACTTCACCGACTTCAACAACCTTCCCGAGCAAGCAGGTTCAGGCACTGTGTGTTTCACTGGCATCTTACCTGCTCCAGATGCTAACGCTATCACTGATGCTAATGCTTATCAGTGCCTGGCATATAGATGGGGTCGGGGGGGTCTGCTTCAAAAAAAATTAATGATGGGGAAGTGGAAACATTTAGTTCAAGGCAAGCAAAACTACATGGTAGGCAGGGTATGATTCACTTAGTGTGAATGATTTTTCTGTGGGACACAGAAGAAATGGTCATGTGTAAATACTCATCCCATTTTGCCTCCACAGAGCCATCCTGTTGAGCAGCAGTTATGCACCAGAGTTTGCTGTTGTGCGATGCCAACCCGCTGCAGCGAGTTTGTTTTAAACAAAGTTAGAAGCTATAGCTTAACCGTCATCATTGATCTTTGCTGTAGCGATCACCAACAGCTGAAATAATTTGATGTCGTATCACTGCAATAGGGCTGTATGCTGAGAAAAGAAGTTTCTTTTCTGAATTATGTTGTGACTTGTGAATTATGAGCTGGGACATCTCAAATGAGCTCATCCATCAGTAAACACTTGAGAGACGTAGGGAAGGTTTTGCAGTAAATCATACAGTTGCATTAAATAAACACAGGGGATGAAGGCTAGCAAGAGCTCCGTTACTAGCATTACAAGCATAATCCTATCCTATATGAACAAACAACCTTAAATAGATAGATATAAGTAAAATGGATACAATTAAGAGACTCTCTTTTCATATTCCAACATACATTGGGAAAACCAACTCATTTTAACGGAGACTATGAGCAGAAACAACAAGGAAATGCTAGTACAGCTGGGACAAGCCATAGGAGTGTATATCCAGGGACACGTGGGCTTGCACAGCTCACCGTCCCTCTGTCCTTCTGGCCACCACTTTGTCTGTCTCCGGTCTACAATGGCACTTCTCTGTGGTGTATATAAATTTTAACAACAAAAAAAAAGTTTTGGAAACACTTAATTCATTCGAAATGATGACTTCTGCAGAGAATTAAAACCTGTTTACAAATATTTTTCCTTCAACTGTAAAAACTGCACATTTCTAAATTGGAAAGATAAGGGGGCTTTTATGCTTTATAGCCACAGTTAACCAACTGTCATAAAGATGTCCCAAGATTATTAGAAAACACAGTGATTTTTACTGCCAGCATTACTTTGACTTCAGTACTTTCAAGGTCAACTTTGCATGTAATAACTCAAAATCAGATTAAGGCCTGCATTCTGGTTTGATTTTACAGGCCAGTAAAAGAAAGGAAAAAAGGGTTTTTACCCAACCTCTGTTACATGCCTACAATCAGGGAGTCTTATCTTTCCATGTATAAGTCAGAGGAGAGAGACTGAAATGCTTTCTTGAGAAGCCTTTATTTCCACTGTCTGAAAAGGGTGATCTTCCTAGCATCTAAGTATTATAAATAAAAGCTTAAATCCAAATATTTACATTGAAAATGGCTTTGCAAAGACATGAATCTCAATGATTCCAGAATGGAGCTAGGGATGTAGCTTTTACGGAAGGGTAAAAAGGACACTTAAACCAAGAACATTATGTTTGGAGATCCTTCTTTAGACAACCACTTTGGGTTGGGTTTTGTTTTTTTTTTTTTTTTCTCACTTGAACTACTTTTTAGCAGCCAAAATATCTATCTTTAGAAAAAGAGGCCACGATAAAAATCTATAGAAGAATTAATAGCCCCATGCCAAGAAAAATGGAAGAATTTCTAAAAAGCTTTCAGTGCTCCTCCAAGTAAACAGGAAAAGGGATAAGTTCAAGTGAAACACGAGCGATTCCCACAGATTGTATCATGGTAGG